TCATTCCTTCCTCCATCCTTCCTCCATCCCTCCTCCATCCCTCCTCCATCCCTCCTCCATCCTCCTCCATCCCTCCTCCATCCTTCCTCCATGCCTCCTCCATCCTTCCTCCATCCCTCCTCCATCCTTCCTCCATCCCTCCTCCATCCTTCCTCCATCCCTCCTCCATCCCTCCTCCATCCTTCCTCCATCCCTCCTCCATGCCTCCTCCATGCCTCCTCATTCCTTCCTCCATCCTTCCTCCATCCCTCCTCCATCCCTCCTCCATCCCTCCTCCATCCTTCCTCCATCCCTTCCTCCATCTTTTCCTCCATCCCTTCCTCCATCCTTTCCTCCATCCTTTCCTCCATCCCTTCCTCCATCCCTTCCTCCATCCCTTCCTCCATGCCTCCTCCATCCTTCCTCCATCCCTCCTCCATCCCTCCTCCATCCCTCCTCCATCCCTCCTCCATCCCTCCTCCATCCCTCCTCATTCCTTCCTCCATCCTTCCTCCATCCTTCCTCCATCCCTCCTCCATCCCTCCTCCATCCCTCCTCCATGCCTCCTCCATCCTTCCTCCATCCTTCCTCCATCCTTCCTCCATCCCTCCTCCATCCCTCCTCCATCCCTCCTCCATCCCTCCTCATTCCTTCCTCCATCCTTCCTCCATCCTTCCTCCATCCTTCCTCCATCCTTCCTCCATCCCTCCTCCATCCTTCCTCCATCCCTCCTCCATCCTTCCTCCATCCTTCCTCCATCCCTCCTCCATCCTTCCTCCATCCCTCCTCCATGCCTCCTCCATGCCTCCTCATTCCTTCCTCCATCCTTCCTCCATCCTTCCTCCATCCCTCCTCCATCCTCCTCCATCCCTCCTCCATCCTCCTCCATCCTTCCTCCATCCCTCCTCCATCCTTCCTCCATCCCTCCTCCATCCTTCCTCCATCCTTCCTCCATCCCTCCTCCATCCTTCCTCCATCCTTCCTCCATCCCTCCTCCATCCTTCCTCCATCCCTCCTCCATCCTTCCTCCATCCTTCCTCCATCCCTCCTCCATCCTTCCTCCATCCCTCCTCCATCCCTCCTCCATCCTTCCTCCATCCCTCCTCCATCCTTCCTCCATCCTTCCTCCATCCCTCCTCCATCCTTCCTCCATCCCTCCTCCATCCCTCCTCCATCCCTCCTCCATCCCTCCTCCATCCTTCCTCCATCCCTCCTCCATCCTTCCTCCATCCTTCCTCCATCCCTCCTCCATCCTTCCTCCATCCCTCCTCCATCCTTCCTCCATCCTTCCTCCATCCCTCCTCCATCCTTCCTCCATCCCTCCTCCATCCCTCCTCCATCCTTCCTCCATCCCTCCTCCATCCTTCCTCCATCCTCCTCCATGCCTCCTCCATGCCTCCTCATCCTTCCTCCATCCTTCCTCCATCCTTCCTCCATCCCTCCTCCATCCCTCCTCCATCCCTCCTCCATCCTTCCTCCATCCTTCCTCCATCCCTCCTCCATCCCTCCTCCATCCCTCCTCCATCCTTCCTCCATCCCTCCTCCATCCTTCCTCCATCCCTCCTCCATCCTTCCTCCATCCTTCCTCCATCCCTCCTCCATCCCTCCTCCATCCCTCCTCCATCCTTCCTCCATCCCTCCTCCATCCTTCCTCCATCCCTCCTCCATCCTTCCTCCATCCTTCCTCCATCCTCCTCCATCCTTCCTCCATCCCTCCTCCATCCTTCCTCCATCCCTCCTCCATCCCTCCTCCATCCTTCCTCCATCCCTCCTCCATCCCTCCTCCATCCATCCTCCATCCCTCCTCCATCCGTCCTCCATCCTTCCTCCATCCCTCCTCCATCCCTCCTCCATCCCTCCTCCATCCTTCCTCCATCCCTCCTCCATCCCTCCTCCATCCTTCCTCCATCCTTCCTCCATCCCTCCTCCATCCTTCCTCCATCCCTCCTCCATCCTTCCTCCATCCTTCCTCCATCCTTCCTCCATCCTCCTCCATCCTTCCTCCATCCCTCCTCCATCCCTCCTCCATCCTTCCTCCATCCCTCCTCCATCCTTCCTCCATCCCTCCTCCATCCTTCCTCCATCCCTCCTCCATCCCTCCTCCATCCTTCCTCCATCCTTCCTCCATCCTCCTCCATCCTTCCTCCATCCCTCCTCCATCCTTCCTCCATCCTTCCTCCATCCCTCCTCCATCCTTCCTCCATCCCTCCTCCATCCTTCCTCCATCCTTCCTCCATCCCTCCTCCATCCTTCCTCCATCCCTCCTCCATCCCTCCTCCATCCTTCCTCCATCTCCTCATCCTCCTCCATCCTTCCTCCATCCTTCCTCCATCCCTCCTCCATCCCTCCTCCATCCCTCCTCCATCCCTCCTCCATCCTCCTCCATCCTTCCTCCATCCCTCCTCCATCCTTCCTCCATCCTTCCTCCATCCCTCCTCCATCCTTCCTCCATCCTTCCTCCATCCCTCCTCCATCCTTCCTCCATCCCTCCTCCATCCTTCCTCCATCCCTCCTCCATCCCTCCTCCATCCTTCCTCCATCCTTCCTCCATCCCTCCTCCATCCTTCCTCCATCCCTCCTCCATCCTTCCTCCATCCTTCCTCCATCCCTCCTCCTTCCTTCCTCCATCCCTCCTCCATCCCTCCTCCATCCTTCCTCCATCCTCCTCCATCCTTCCTCCATCCTTCCTCCATCCCTCCTCCATCCTTCCTCCATCCCTCCTCCATCCCTCCTCCATCCCTCCTCCATCCCTCCTCCATCCCTCCTCCATCCTTCCTCCATCCCTCCTCCATCCCTCCTCCATCCTTCCTCCATCCTTCCTCCATCCCTCCTCCATCCTTCCTCCATCCCTCCTCCATCCCTCCTCCATCCTTCCTCCATCCCTCCTCCATCCTTCCTCCATCCTTCCTCCATCCCTCCTCCATCCCTTCTCCATCCCTCCTCCATCCTTCCTCCATCCCTCCTCCATCCCTCCTCCATCCTTCCTCCATCCTTCCTCCATCCCTCCTCCATCCTTCCTCCATCCCTCCTCCATCCTTCCTCCATCCCTCCTCCATCCTTCCTCCATCCCTCCTCCATCCCTCCTCCATCCTTCCTCCATCCCTCCTCCATCCCTCCTCCATCCTTCCTCCATCCTCCTCCATCCTTCCTCCATCCCTCCTCCATCCTTCCTCCATCCTTCCTCCATCCCTCCTCCATCCTTCCTCCATCCTTCCTCCATCCCTCCTCCATCCCTCCTCCATCCTTCCTCCATCCCTCCTCCATCCCTCCTCCATCCTTCCTCCATCCCTCCTCCATCCCTCCTCCATCCTTCCTCCATCCCTCCTCCATCCCTCCTCCATCCTTCCTCCATCCTTCCTCCATCCTTCCTCCATCCTTCCTCCATCCCTCCTCCATCCTTCCTCCATCCTTCCTCCATCCTTCCTCCATCCTTCCTCCATCCCTCCTCCATCCCTCCTCCATCCCTCCTCCATCCTTCCTCCATCCTTCCTCCATCCCTCCTCCATCCCTCCTCCATCCTTCCTCCATCCTTCCTCCATCCTTCCTCCGTCCCTCCTCCATCCCTTCTCCATCCCTCCTCCATCCTTCCTCCATCCCTCCTCCATCCTTCCTCCATCCTTCCTCCATCCTTCCTCCATCCCTCCTCCATCCTTCCTCCATCCTTCCTCCATCCCTCCTCCATCCTTCCTCCATCCTTCCTCCATCCCTCCTCCATCCCTCCTCCATCCTTCCTCCATCCTTCCTCCATCCCTCCTCCATCCCTCCTCCATCCTTCCTCCATCCCTCCTCCATCCTTCCTCCATCCTTCCTCCATCCCTCCTCCATCCCTCCTCCATCCTTCCTCCATCCCTCCTCCATCCTTCCTCCATCCTTCCTCCATCCCTCCTCCATCCTTCCTCCATCCCTCCTCCATCCCTCCTCCATCCTTCCTCCATCCCTCCTCCATCCTTCCTCCATCCTTCCTCCATCCTTCCTCCATCCCTCCTCCATCCCTCCTCCATCCTTCCTCCATCCCTCCTCCATCCTTCCTCCATCCTTCCTCCATCCCTCCTCCATCCCTCCTCCATCCCTCCTCCATCCTTCCTCCATCCCTCCTCCATCCCTCCTCCATCCCTCCTCCATCCTTCCTCCATCCCTCCTCCATCCCTCCTCCATCCTTCCTCCATCCCTCCTCCATCCCTCCTCCATCCTTCCTCCATCCTTCCTCCATCCCTCCTCCATCCTTCCTCCATCCTTCCTCCATCCCTCCTCCATCCCTCCTCCATCCCTCCTCCATCCTTCCTCCATCCTTCCTCCATCCCTCCTCCATCCTTCCTCCATCCCTCCTCCATCCTTCCTCCATCCTTCCTCCATCCTTCCTCCATCCTTCCTCCATCCCTCCTCCATCCTTCCTCCATCCTTCCTCCATCCCTCCTCCATCCCTCCTCCATCCTTCCTCCATCCCTCCTCCATCCCTCCTCCATCCTTCCTCCATCCCTCCTCCATCCCTCCTCCATCCCTCCTCCATCCTTCCTCCATCCCTCCTCCATCCCTCCTCCATCCTTCCTCCATCCCTCCTCCACCCCTCCACCATCCCTATATTCAGAGATGTTCTGTTTTCTTTTCAGCTCTGCTCTAGAAATAATAATGATCCAGCAGGACCGGATCTCCTGATGGGCCGACCCGGCTTCATTTCTGGGTCACAGGTACCGCATTCTCATATCAGATCACTGTTTTACTTTCAGAGCAGCAGGAAACCTGCAGAACACAGATCAGCTGGTTCTGACCCGCTGCTGCCCCCCTCAGGCAGACCGGCTGCAGCAGAACCAGAACTCCTGGTATCAGAACCAGGACATTAAACCCGCTCCTGGTATCAGAACCAGGACATTAAACCCAACTGGGACCTCCCCATGCCAAACTGGGTTCCTCCTCCACCTCCTGAAGGCCATCAGGTGTCATATTACAGAGCTGACCAATCAGGAGCCTCGATCTTTCTGGTTCTACGGCCGGAACCAGGAAGTGGACTAAGGCCAAGTTGAGCATGTGGAACACCCAGAGGGAGGGGCCGTTTCTAGCAGACTCTGACCCTATTTAAACCCGACTAGAACGTCTGCTGGTTCTCCAAGGTTCTACTTGACTTTAGAACAGAAACCAAAGAGGTTCTGGTCCATTTGAGAGACCTGTTCAGAACTCAGGCTGCCTAAAACCCCACAGACCCACCAGCAGTCAACGCCATCCTCACCTCGGCTTTTCTCTCTGCGGTTCCGTCCAAGCAGTTTGACGGGGGTCGAAGGCGAGGGTTGCTGGTTTGACTCTTTGGAGGCAGACCTGAAGATCCCGCTGAAGCTCAGCCTGAAACACAGAGAGAGAGATCGGTTCTGATCCAGATGATCCTCATGTGAAGAACGTGGTTCTGAATGGTCTGAAGCACTGAATGAAACAGAAGTGTCTGGAACCGCTCTGGTTCTGCTGGGACTACCTGCGGTGAGACTTGGGGGGGGAGTCCTGCTGCAGGGGGCCGCGGGGGCCGGGGGGGCTGGGGGGACGGTTGAACGTAGAATGGTGGAAAAGACTCCTGGTGGGACTGGCAGAGCGATACAGCAGCTCACCCTGTAGGACAGGAGGACACATGAATGGCTGATGGTCCCTGAACTCATCGCTGGTCCCTGAAGGCACCATGCAGACGGGTGTCCACCCCTCTCTGTTAGCCAGGAGCCATCGCAGGCATTTACACTGACCTCAGTCAGCCTTAGCTCCACAGACCCAATCCTAATCCTCTGCTGCATGCCGTAACCATGACGTCACTGACCAGACACACCTGGATGAATCAGTTTGTCCAGGAATGTCCAGGAACAAAGAGCTGGACACAGAGTCCATTGTCCAGAAGTGGTTCTGGTCGGATTCAGGAAGCTAAACTTTACCAGAATGAATAAAGTCAGTTTTACCTCATTTCACTGCTTTAGTTCTGATCTTTCTGGTCTAAGTTTGGGTTTTACCTCCTGCTGGCTAACCACCAGCAGCTAGCTAACCTTACTTCCTCCCAGTGCCACAGGAAGTGACCTCAGCATCAGCAGAAAGTGACCATCTCCTAATGGGTTCAGGCTGGTCACATCAGAACCTGGACCCTCACCTTCCGGCGCCGTCCTCTGTCTGGCCGAGCTGGATCTCTGTCCTGGAAGGCCATGATGTGGACTCCTGCAGAGACACATGGGTGGAGTCAGACGCTGATCATGTGACTGCTCAGTCTCACCATCAGGTAACCATGGCAACATTAGGGAGGTTCCACAGCGAGGAGTTCAGTGGACCTCAGAGGAGGACAGGAGCTGTCCCAGCATCCTCTGCGTGTCCAGCGGGACTAAAGCCCCCGCTGACCGGCCCAGCTACGACCCGATTCAGCTACGACCCGGTTCAGCTACGACCCGGCCCAGCTACGACCCGGTTCAGCTACGACCCGGTTCAGCTACGACCCGGCCCAGCTACGACCCGGTTCAGCTATGACCCGGTTCAGCTACGACCCGATTCAGCTACGACCCGATTCAGCTACGACCCGGTTCAGCTACGACCCGGCCCAGCTACGACCCGGTTCAGCTACGACCCGGTTCAGCTACGACCCGGCCCAGCTATGACCCGGTTCAGCTACGACCCGGCCCAGCTACGACCCGGTTCAGCTATGACCCGGTTCAGCTACGACCCGATTCAGCTACGACCCGATTCAGCTACGACCCGGTTCAGCTACGACCCGGCCCAGCTACGGCCCGGTTCAGCTACGACCCGGCCCAGCTACGACCCGGTTCAGCTACGACCCGGCCCAGCTACGACCCGGTTCAGCTATGACCCGGTTCAGCTACGACCCGATTCAGCTACGCCCCGATTCAGCTACGACCCGGTTCAGCTACGACCCGATTCAGCTACGACCCGGTTCAGCTACGACCCGGCCCAGCTACGACCCGGCCTAGCTACGACCCGGTTCAGCTACGACCCGGTTCAGCTACGACCCGGTTCAGCTACGACCCGATTCAGCTACGACCCGATTCAGCTACGACCCGGTTCAGCTACGACCCGGTTCAGCTACGACCCGATTCAGCTACGACCCGATTCAGCTACGACCCGGTTCAGCTACGACCCGGTTCAGCTACGACCCGGCCCAGCTACGGCCCGGTTCAGCTACGACCCGGCCCAGCTACGACCCGGTTCAGCTACGACCCGGCCCAGCTACGACCCGGTTCAGCTATGACCCGGTTCAGCTACGACCCGATTCAGCTACGCCCCGATTCAGCTACGACCCGGTTCAGCTACGACCCGATTCAGCTACGACCCGGTTCAGCTACGACCCGGCCCAGCTACGACCCGGTTCAGCTACGACCCGGTTCAGCTACGACCCGATTCAGCTACGACCCGGTTCAGCTACGACCCGGTTCAGCTACGACCCGATTCAGCTACGACCCGATTCAGCTACGACCCGGTTCAGCTACGACCCGGTTCAGCTACGACCCGATTCAGCTACGACCCGATTCAGCTACGACCCGGTTCAGCTACGACCCGATTCAGCTACGACCCGGCCCAGCTAGGACCCGGCCCAGCTACGACCCGATTCAGCTACGACCCGATTGAGCTACGACCCGGCCCAGCTACGACCCGATTCAGCTACGACCCGATTCAGCTACGACCCGATTCAGCTACGACCCGGCCCAGCTACGACCCGATTCAGCTACGACCCGGCCCAGCTACGACCCGATTCAGCTACGACCCGATTCAGCTACGACCCGGTTCAGCTACGACCCGGTTCAGCTACGACCCGATTCAGCTACGACCCGATTCAGCTACGCCCCGGTTCAGCTACGACCCGGTTCAGCTACGACCCGATTCAGCTACGACCCGGTTCAGCTACGACCCGGTTCAGCTACGACCCGGTTCAGCTACGACCCGGCCCAGCTACGACCCGGCCCAGCTACGACCCGGTTCAGCTACGACCCGGTTCAGCTACGACCCGATTCAGCTACGACCCGATTCAGCTACGACCCGGTTCAGCTACGACCCGATTCAGCTACGACCCGGCCCAGCTACGACCCGGCCCAGCTACGACCCGGCCCAGCTACGACCCGGCCCAGCTACGACCCGATTCAGCTACGACCCGATTCAGCTACGACCCGATTCAGCTACGACCCGGCCCAGCTACGACCCGATTCAGCTACGACCCGGCCCAGCTACGACCCGATTCAGCTACGACCCGATTCAGCTACGACCCGGTTCAGCTACGACCCGGTTCAGCTACGACCCGATTCAGCTACGACCCGATTCAGCTACGACCCGGTTCAGCTACGACCCGGTTCAGCTACGACCCGATTCAGCTACGACCCGGTTCAGCTACGACCCGGTTCAGCTACGACCCGGCCCAGCTACGACCCGGCCCAGCTACGACCCGGTTCAGCTACGACCCGATTCAGCTACGACCCGATTCAGCTACGACCCGGTTCAGCTACGACCCGATTCAGCTACGACCCGGCCCAGCTACGACCCGGCCCAGCTACGACCCGGCCCAGCTACGACCCGGCCTAGCTACGACCCGATTCAGCTACGACCCGATTCAGCGAGGAGTTCAGTGGACCTCAGAGGAGGACAGGAGCTGTCCCAGCATCCTCTGCGTGTCCAGCGGGACTAAAGCCCCCGCTGACCGGCCTAGCTACGACCCGATTCAGCTACGACCCGATTCAGCTATGACCCGGCCCAGCTACGACCCGGCCCAGCTACGACCCGATTCAGCTACGACCCGATTCAGCTACGACCCGGTTCAGCTACGACCCGGCCCAGCTACGACCCGGTCCAGCTACGACCCGGTTCAGCTACGACCCGGCCCAGCTACGACCAGCTACTGATCAGAAACTGATCAGAATGCAGCAGAGCTTGATTTCTACAATGTACAGATCCGAGGCAGAAAAGGGTCCAGGTCCAGAACCTTTTTGGACAAGTCCAGGTCAGTTTTGGACGGGTCCAGGTCCAGGTCTGATTTAGACCGGTCCTGGTCCAGGTCCAGCTCTGGATTGGAATGGTCCTGGTCCAATTCCAGGTCAAATTTTGACAGGTCCAGGTCCGATTTAGACCGGTCCTGGTCCAGTTCCAGGTCCGATTTGGACAGGTCAAGGACCGTTTTGGACGGGTCCAAACCGCTCCCCACCAGGACTGGTCTGGACATGTCCGGGTCCAGGTCCAAGTCCAAGTTGAATGGGTCCAGGTCCGATTTGTATGGGTCCAGTTCAAGGTCCGATTTGGACTGGTCCAGGTCCAGGACCATTTTGGACGGGTCCAGGTCACGGTCCGATTTGGACGGGTCCAGTTCCACATCCGATTTGGACTGGTCCAAGTGCAGGTCCGTTTTGGTGGGTTCCAGGTCCAGGTCCGATTTTAGCGAGTCAAGGTCCAAGACTGGTTCAGATGCGTCCAGGTCCGATTTGGACAGGTCCAGTTACAGGTCCAATTTGGACCGGTCCTGATCCGGGTACAGGTCCGGTTCGGAATGGTGCTGGTCCAGTTACAGGTCCAATTTGGACTTGTCCTGGTCCAGGTCCGTTTTGGATGGTTCCAGGTCCGATTTGGACGGGTTCAGGTCGAGGTCCATTTTGGATGGTTCAAGGTCCGATTTGGACGGGTTCAGGTCGAGGTCCATTTTGGATGGTTCCAGGTCCAGGAACATTTTGGGCGGGTCCAGGTTCATGACCGGTCTGAACGGGTCCAGGTCCAGGACTGTTTTGGATGGGTCTGGGTCCAGGTCCGATTTGGACAGGTGCAGGTCCGATTTGGATGGGTCCAGTTCCAGGTCCAATTGGGACTGGTCCTGGTCCAGGTCCTGATCCGTTTTAGATGGTTCCAGGTCCAGGTCTGATTTTGTCGAGTCAAGGTCCAGGACTGGTTCAGATGGGTCCAGGTCCAGGACCGTTTTGGGCCTGCTGTTTCTGGTACTGGTGGACCCAGAGGTTCCTGCGGTGACATCATCATTAGACCGTTCCAGATCCACATCTGCTGAGGCAGCGATCAGAACCAGCGGGCCAGAGACATGCTGAGTCAGCCCAGGTAGCCATGACTCGGCGTTTTCCCACCCTCAGCCCTCTCTGGTTACCATGGGAACCTGACAGCTCAGCTGTGTCCTTCAGAAGTATCAAAGCGCTTCTGTTCAGCTGGACCGAGAGTTCAGGTTCTAGCAGAACCACCAGAGCAGCTTCCTGCAGTGCTGCGTTCTAATGCAGAACCAGAACCAGAACCAGAACCTCCCCTGCAAACAGCAGAGGAATCAGCCGGACCTGCAGAACTTTGCATCAGTAAATCTACATCACAGAACAGAACCAGGAGAAAACATGCTCCAAGTTCAAACCGGTTCAAGAACCAGGCTGATGGTGTCCTTCAGAGGTTCCCCAGTCCACCAGAACCAGCCGGTCGGTCAGACTAACATCTACTTTGATAAACACTGACCGCCTGCTGATCCCGTGAGGACGGTCTGACTGCCTGCTGATCCCGTGAGGACGGTCTGACCGCCTGCTGATCCCGTGAGGACGGTCTGACCGCCTGCTGATCCCGTAAGGACGGTCTGACCGCCTGCTGATCCCGTGAGGACGGTCTGACCGCCTGCTGATCCCGTGAGGACGGTCTGACCGCCTGCTGATCCAGACAGTTGAATCAGAACCGAACCAAAAGAATCAAACCGTCCCAAACAGAGAGAACAGGTTTACCTTCAGCTCTGAGATTCTCTGACGTTCCCACGCAGAGACCAGAACATCCATCCACCTGCAGCTCTGAGGCTCCTCCTCCAGGTGTCTGAGGCTCCTCCTCCAGGTGTCTGAGGCTCCTCCTACAGATGTCTGAGGCTCCTCCCCCTCCCTCAGGTGTCCAAGCAGGAACCAATCAAATCAAATGTAATGATAGAAACCTTAGTCAGTTAAATAACCTGCTGCTGTCATTCTGCACATCTCTGATGTTGCTGCTATTTTCAAATATCCATCACTGTAAAAATGTCCATAGCTGCATATTGGTTATTAATTCTCCAGTTTGATATTAGACTTAGACAGATTTATTTTATCATTTTGTATACACGAATTATATTGTGATTAATCTTGGTATACAGAGGAGGATCATTCCTGGATTTTACACCAGTCACCTTAATATAAGCCTACATTCCTATTTAAAATACAATAAATAAAAATAAATACATAGATTGACATATGCATGTTAGTGTCTCTAGGTAGGACTTTTTTTCTACCTGCTTTCAGACAAACGAAAAACTAAATCTGATGAGTCTCTTCCACATAATGCAGCCGCTGCCATCCATCAAACCAAGATGGAGCCTCAGAACCAGAGAACGCTTCATTACCTCAACGCCGAGCAGCAAATCAGAAACAGGATGTTGGCTGGAAGGGCTCGTCTAATCCAATCACGCTAGGTTGAGGGTTCTGGGGCCGGGCCTGCTGGTGCATCAGAAGCGGGCGCACAGTCTCCTCCCTCCGGCTGCTCTCCGTTGTCGTTGTTGCGGTACCAGAATTCCTCTTCACTGGTGAAAAAATCAAGATGCTTTTTGTCGTTAGACTATATAAACTTACTAGTCTGCTCCCAGGAGCGGAATATATTGCTTGACATTGCCGTGACAGCGTATACCTCAAAATAATTACAGTAAAACAAAAAAAAAGAGCATTAGTGGAAGTCTAAATTATTTCCCAAAACATTCATAAGAATTTTACAAACTGTGCAAAGCATTTTTGATGGATTTTAAAAAAAATTTCCCTCTTGCCACTAGGGAGTGCAACAGCATCCCCGCAGCCATGGCCCTTAATGTGGTCACTATATAGTGTCCTATATACTGCCCTAATCACTATTTAGTGCCCTATATAGTGTCCTATATACTGCCCTAATCACTATTTAGTGCCCTATATAGTGTCCTATATACTGCCCTAATCACTATTTAGTGCCCTATATAGTGTCCTATATACTGCCCTAATCTCTATTTAGTGCCCTATATAGTGTCCTATATACTGCCCTAATCACTATTTAGTGCCCTATATAGTGTCCTATATACTGCCCTAATCACTATTTAGTGCCCTATATAGTGTCCTATATACTGCCCTAATCTCTATTTAGTGCCCTATATAGTGTCCTATATACTGCCCTAATCACTATTTAGTGCCCTATATAGTGTCCTATATACTGCCCTAATCACTATTTAGTGCCCTATATAGTGTCCTATATACTGCCCTAATCACTATTTAGTGCCCTATATAGTGTCCTATATACTGCCCTAATCACTATTTAGTGCCCTATATAGTGTCCTATATACTGCCCTAATCACTATTTAGTGCCCTATATAGTGTCCTATATACTGCCCTAATCACTATTTAGTGCCCTATATAGTGTCCTATATACTGCCCTAATCTCTATTTAGTGCCCTATATAGTGTCCTATATACTGCCCTAATCTCTATTTAGTGCCCTATATAGTGTCCTATATACTGCCCTAATCACTATTTAGTGCCCTATATAGTGTCCTATATACTGCCCTAATCACTATTTAGTGCCCTATATAGTGTCCTATATACTGCCCTAATCACTATTTAGTGCCCTATATAGTGTCCTATATACTGCCCTAATCTCTATTTAGTGCCCTATATAGTGTCCTATATACTGCCCTAATCTCTATTTAGTGCCCTATATAGTGTCCTATATACTGCCCTAATCACTATTTAGTGCCCTATATAGTGTCCTATATACTGCCCTAATCACTATTTAGTGCCCTATATAGTGTCCTATATACTGCCCTAATCACTATTTAGTGCCCTATATAGTGTCCTATATACTGCCCTAATCACTATTTAGTGCCCTATATAGTGTCCTATATACTGCCCTAATCACTATTTAGTGCCCTATATAGTGTCCTATATACTGCCCTAATCTCTATTTAGTGCCCTATATAGTGTCCTATATACTGCCCTAATCACTATTTAGTGCCCTATATAGTGTCCTATATACTGCCCTAATCACTATTTAGTGCCCTATACAGGTGCTGGTCATAAAATTAGAATATCATGAAAAAGTAGATTGATTTCAGTAATTCCATTTAAAAAGTGAAACTTGTATATTATATTCATACATTACATACAAACTCATATATTTCAGATGTTTATTTTGTTTAATTTTGATGATTACAAATGACAACAAATGAAAATCTCAAATTCATCATATCAGAAAATTAGAATATTACTGAAGACCAATAAAAACAAAGGATTTATAGAAATGTTGGCCAACTGAAAAGTATGAACATGAAAAGTATGAGCATGTACAGCACTCAGTATTTAGTTGGGCCTCCTTTGGCCTGTATTACTGCAGCAATGCGGCGTGGCATGGAGTCGATCAGTCTGTGGCACTGCTCAGGTGTTATGATAGCCCAGGTTGCTCTAATAGTGGCTTTTAGCTCTTCTGAATTGTTGGGTCTGGTGTATTGCATCTTCTTCTTCACAATACCCCATAGATTTTCTATGGGGTTAAGGTCAGGAGAGTTTGCTGGCCAATTAAGAACAGGGATACCATGGTCCTTCAACCAGGTACTGGTAGCTTTGGCACTGTGTGCAGGTGCCAAGTCCTGTTGGAAAATGAAATCTGCATCTCCAAAAAGTTGGTCAGCTGCAGGAAGCATGAAGTGCTCTAAAACTTCCTGGTATGTGGCTGCGTTGACCCTGGACCTCAGAAAACACAATGGACCAACACCAGCAGATGACATGGCACCCCAAACCATCACTGACTGTGGAAACTTTACACTGGACTTCAAGCAACGTGGATGAAGTGCCTCTCTTCTTTTCCTCCAGACTCTGGGACCTTGATTTCCAAAGGAAATGCAAAATTTACTTTCATCAGAGAACATGACTTTGGACCACTCACCAGCAGTCCAGTCCTGTTTCTCTTTAGCCCAGGCAAGACGCTTCTGACGCTGTCTGTGGTTCAAGAGTGGCTTGACACAAGGAATGCGACAGCAGAAACCCATGTCTTTCATACGTCTGTGTGTGGTGGTTCTTGAAGCACTCACTCCAGCTGCAGTCCACTCTTTGTGAATCTCCCCCACATTTTTGAAGGGGTTTTGTTTCACAATCCTCTCCAGGGTGCGGTTATCTCTCTTGCTTGTACACTTTTTTCGACCACATCTTTTCCTTCCCTTCGCCTCTCTATTAATGTGCTTGGACACTGAGCTCTGTGAACAGCCAGCCTCTTTAGCGATGACCTTTTGTGTCTTGCCCTCCTTGTGCAAGGTGTCGATGGTCGTCTTTTGGACAACTGTCAAGTCAGCAGTCTTCCCCATGATTGTGTAGCCTATAGAACTAGACTGAAAGACCATTTAAAGGCTTTTGCAGGTGGTTTGAGTTAATTAGCTGATTAGAGTGTGGCACCAGGGGCCATCAATTTTGAACCTTTTCACAATATTCTAATTTTCTGATATGATGAATTTGAGATTTTCATTTGTTGTCATTTGTAATCATCAAAATTAAACAAAATAAACATCTGAAATATATGAGTTTGTATGTAATGTATGAATATAATATACAAGTTTCACTTTTTAAATGGAATTACTGAAATCAATCTACTTTTTCATGATATTCTAATTTTATGACCAGCACCTGTATAGTGTCCTATATACTGCCCTAATCACTATTTAGTGCCCTATATAGCGTCCTATATACTGCCCTAATCACTATTTAGTGCCCTATATAGTGTCCTATATACTGCCCTAATCACTATTTAGTGCCGTATATAGTGTCCTATATACTGCCCTAATCACTATTTAGTGCCCTATATAGTGTCCTATATACTGCCCTAATCACTATTTAGTGCCCTATATAGTGTCCTATATACTGCCCTAATCACTATTTAGTGCCCTATATAGTGTCCTATATACTGCCCTAATCACTATTTAGTGCCCTATATAGTGTCCTATATACTGCCCTAATCACTATTTAGTGCCCTATATAGTGTCCTATATACTGCCCTAATCTCTATTTAGTGCCCTATATAGTGTCCTATATACTGCCCTAATCACTATTTAGTGCCCTATATAGTGTCCTATATACTGCCCTAATCACTATTTAGTGCCCTATATAGTGTCCTATATACTGCCCTAATCACTATTTAGTGCCCTATATAGCGTCCTATATACTGCCCTAATCACTATTTAGTGCCCTATATAGCGTCCTATATACTGCCCTAATCACTATTTAGTGCCGTATATAGTGTCCTATATACTGCCCTAATCACTATTTAGTGCCCTATATAGTGTCCTATATACTGCCCTAATCACTATTTAGTGCCCTATATAGTGTCCTATATACTGCCCTAATCACTATTTAGTGCCCTATATAGTGTCCTATATACTGCCCTAATCACTATTTAGTGCCCTATATAGTGTCCCATATACTGCCCTAATCACTATTTAGTGCCCTATATAGTGTCCTATATACTGCCCTAATCACTATTTAGTGCCCTATATAGTGTCCTATATACTGCCCTAATCACTATTTAGTGCCCTATATAGTGTCCTATATACTGCCCTAATCACTATTTAGTGCCCTATATAGTGTCCTATATACTGCCCTAATCACTATTTAGTGCCCTATATAGTGTCCTATATACTGCCCTAATCACTATTTAGTGCCCTATATAGTGTCCTATATACTGCCCTAATCACTATTTAGTGCCCTATATAGTGTCCTATATACTGCCCTAATCTCTATTTAGTGCCCTATATAGTGTCCTATATACTGCCCTAATCACTATTTAGTGCCCTATATAGTGTCCTATATACTGCCCTAATCACTATTTAGTGCCCTATACAGGTGCTGGTCATAAAATTAGAATATCATGAAAAAGTAGATTGATTTCAGTAATTCCATTTAAAAAGTGAAACTTGTATATTATATTCATACATTACATACAAACTCATATATTTCAGATGTTTATTTTGTTTAATTTTGATGATTACAAATGACAACAAATGAAAATCTCAAATTCATCATATCAGAAAATTAGAATATTACTGAAGACCAATAAAAACAAAGGATTTATAGAAATGTTGGCCAACTGAAAAGTATGAACATGAAAAGTATGAGCATGTACAGCACTCAGTATTTAGTTGGGCCTCCTTTGGCCTGTATTACTGCAGCAATGCGGCGTGGCATGGAGTCGATCAGTCTGTGGCACTGCTCAGGTGTTATGATAGCCCAGGTTGCTCTAATAGTGGCTTTTAGCTCTTCTGAATTGTTGGGTCTGGTGTATTGCATCTTCTTCTTCACAATACCCCATAGATTTTCTATGGGGTTAAGGTCAGGAGAGTTTGCTGGCCAATTAAGAACAGGGATACCATGGTCCTTCAACCAGGTACTGGTAGCTTTGGCACTGTGTGCAGGTGCCAAGTCCTGTTGGAAAATGAAATCTGCATCTCCAAAAAGTTGGTCAGCTGCAGGAAGCATGAAGTGCTCTAAAACTTCCTGGTATGTGGCTGCGTTGACCCTGGACCTCAGAAAACACAATGGACCAACACCAGCAGATGACATGGCACCCCAAACCATCACTGACTGTGGAAACTTTACACTGGACTTCAAGCAACGTGGATGAAGTGCCTCTCTTCTTTTCCTCCAGACTCTGGGACCTTGATTTCCAAAGGAAATGCAAAATTTACTTTCATCAGAGAACATGACTTTGGACCACTCACCAGCAGTCCAGTCCTGTTTCTCTTTAGCCCAGGCAAGACGCTTCTGACGCTGTCTGTGGTTCAAGAGTGGCTTGACACAAGGAATGCGACAGCAGAAACCCATGTCTTTCATACGTCTGTGTGTGGTGGTTCTTGAAGCACTCACTCCAGCTGCAGTCCACTCTTTGTGAATCTCCCCCACATTTTTGAAGGGGTTTTGTTTCACAATCCTCTCCAGGGTGCGGTTATCTCTCTTGCTTGTACACTTTTTTCGACCACATCTTTTCCTTCCCTTCGCCTCTCTATTAATGTGCTTGGACACTGAGCTCTGTGAACAGCCAGCCTCTTTAGCGATGACCTTTTGTGTCTTGCCCTCCTTGTGCAAGGTGTCGATGGTCGTCTTTTGGACAACTGTCAAGTCAGCAGTCTTCCCCATGATTGTGTAGCCTATAGAACTAGACTGAAAGACCATTTAAAGGCTTTTGCAGGTGGTTTGAGTTAATTAGCTGATTAGAGTGTGGCACCAGGGGCCATCAATTTTGAACCTTTTCACAATATTCTAATTTTCTGATATGATGAATTTGAGATTTTCATTTGTTGTCATTTGTAATCATCAAAATTAAACAAAATAAACATCTGAAATATATGAGTTTGTATGTAATGTATGAATATAATATACAAGTTTCACTTTTTAAATGGAATTACTGAAATCAATCTACTTTTTCATGATATTCTAATTTTATGACCAGCACCTGTATAGTGTCCTATATACTGCCCTAATCACTATTTAGTGCCCTATATAGCGTCCTATATACTGCCCTAATCACTATTTAGTGCCCTATATAGTGTCCTATATACTGCCCTAATCACTATTTAGTGCCGTATATAGTGTCCTATATACTGCCCTAATCACTATTTAGTGCCCTATATAGTGTCCTATATACTGCCCTAATCACTATTTAGTGCCCTATATAGTGTCCTATATACTGCCCTAATCACTATTTAGTGCCCTATATAGTGTCCTATATACTGCCCTAATCACTATTTAGTGCCCTATATAGTGTCCTATATACTGCCCTAATCACTATTTAGTGCCCTATATAGTGTCCTATATACTGCCCTAATCTCTATTTAGTGCCCTATATAGTGTCCTATATACTGCCCTAATCACTATTTAGTGCCCTATATAGTGTCCTATATACTGCCCTAATCACTATTTAGTGCCCTATATAGTGTCCTATATACTGCCCTAATCACTATTTAGTGCCCTATATAGCGTCCTATATACTGCCCTAATCACTATTTAGTGCCCTATATAGCGTCCTATATACTGCCCTAATCACTATTTAGTGCCGTATATAGTGTCCTATATACTGCCCTAATCACTATTTAGTGCCCTATATAGTGTCCTATATACTGCCCTAATCACTATTTAGTGCCCTATATAGTGTCCTATATACTGCCCTAATCACTATTTAGTGCCCTATATAGTGTCCTATATACTGCCCTAATCACTATTTAGTGCCCTATATAGTGTCCCATATACTGCCCTAATCACTATGCAGTGCCCTATATAGTGTCCTATATACTGCCCTAATAACTATTTAGGGCACTATATAGTGTCCCATATACTGCCCTAATCACTATGCAGTGCCCTATATAGTGTCCTATATACTGCCCTAATCACTATTTAGTGTCCTATATAGTGTCCTATATACTGCCCTAATCACTATGCAGTGCCCTATATAGTGTCCCATATACTGCCCTAATCACTATGCAGTGCCCTATATAGTTTCCTATATACTGCCCTTATCACTATTTAGTGCCCTATATAGTGTCCCATATACTGCCCTAATCACTATGCAGTGCCCTATATAGTTTCCTATATACTGCCCTAATCACTATTTAGTGCCCTATATAGTGTCCCATATACTGCCCTAATCACTATTTAGGGTCCTATATAGTGTCCTATATACTGCCCTTATCACTATGCAGTGCCCTATATAGTGTCCTATATACTGCCCTAATCACTATTTAGTGCCCTATATAGGGTCCTATATACTGCCCTAATCACTATTTAGGGTCCTTTATAGTGTCCTATATACTGCCCTAATCACTATTTAGTGCCCTATATAGTGTCCTATATACTGCCCTAATCACTATTTAGGGTCCTTTATAGTGTCCTATATACTGCCCTAATCACTATTTAGTGCCCTATATAGTGTCCTATATACTGCCCTAATCACTATTTAGTGCCCTATATAGTGTCCTATATACTGCCCTAATCACTATTTAGTGCCCTATATAGTGTCCTATATACTGCCCTAATCACTATTTAGTGCCCTATATAGTGTCCTATATACTGCCCTAATCACTATTTAGTGCCCTATATAGTGTCCTATATACTGCCCTAATCACTATTTAGTGCCCTATATAGTGACTTGGTTCAGATATTGTTTTTCTGCAGTAAACATATTGAAGTAAAACAGGTAGTAAATTAAACGCTGGCATTGCTGTTCTAACCTGACAGCTTCTCTGCATCATGTGAAGGATGTTTTTATTATTATCTATGATGCCAATGATGCGCTCTGTGTTTCTGCTCTTACGGTGTTGATTAGGAGGTCTGTATGAAGACAGTTCAAAGGGCGGGATCTGTGCTCTGCTTATCCTTTGCTGGTGGAGACATCTTCAAAAAATACTTTCAATAAACAATGTTTTACTGCATATTGCCACCATATATATTTACCATGAAATGCTCTGAACTTCATGTTTTTTATTCTCCCACACTGTTTACATTTGATCACTGGTGCACTTTAAGAATTGGACATTTAGTTTATGAAAGCTGCACTAAATTAAGTTTGGTTTTGTAAACATTCTGTGTACAAAATAATGCTGCTCCTGTGTTCGATGCCAGAGAGCAGCTTTGCTATATTAGCTGTGATCAGCAGGTAGAAAGTAGTTAGAATCTCTGTTGAAGTGAAAAAGTTCTCCTGAAAACATGGTCTGTGCAGTCAGTTCATCCAGATTACCATCCTGCCTTCAAAGATTATTTCTCCGCTCAGACCCCCACATACCGGCGGTGAAGGGAATCCCCAGCAGCAGCTGCCTCTGACCTTAACCTGGATCAGGGATGAGCTGCAGGAGCTGCTTTCATGTTAGATGTGAAAGGCTGAAGGTCCGTAAAGGTGTCTGTTATCAGTTGAACGGGTTGAACTGGTTGAACTGGGGGAACCTGCTGGGTGATGTGTGTGACTGGGAGCCTGCCAGCCGTCTGACAGCAGATGCTGCGGTTCTGGTTCTGTGGGTTGATCAGAACCACTGGGTTTATAAACTGAACCATTTTTTTCTCATCGGCTCTTCTGTGACTTTTATTTTGAAGTTCTCCTCCTGTTTTCCGTTTTATTTTGAAGGGCCGGACCTGGGGTCACGTGGTCCCCCTGGTTCTGTGTTCGCAGCTCAGCCAGCATCGGGTGGAGGTTCTGACGGGCCGCGGAACAGGTACCGGCCGCTGATTGGACCTTCAGGTTCGGTTCGGTGAGAAGCTAAAGCAGACAGGTCCATTATCGGACAGTACCGAACCCGGAACCAGCGCATTTCCGGCCGGCTTCCCACTCTGAGCTGCAAGCGGTCCAAGAGGCCGCTCTGGATCGGCTTAATCTGGGCTTAACCTGAGGTTCGGTTCCGATCATGTTCCCCTCTGCTACAGGTTAGCAGGCTGCGGCTGGGACCACCGAACCGGACTGAACCGGAACCAGTTTAAACCCAGTTAATAGAGGGCAGGCGGGGGATGGTTCGGACAGCGGCTGGTTAAAGTGACGTCACCGGCTTCCTCCAGGAGTTCAGTTCCATCAGGTGAGTTTACCTGGGCTCAGGGACCAATCACTGACCTAGTTGATGATGGGTCACCATGATGATGGATCACCATGATGATGGGTCACCATGATGATGGGTCACCATGATGATGGGTCACCATGATGATGGGTCACCATGATGATGGGTCACCATGATTAACTGTAGTTTTTGCATTATTCTATTTAAAGCATCAGAACCTGAACGGCGTTCTGGATCAGAACAGATATTCCAGTTTGTGTTTAACCAGTAAACCAGTAAACCATTAAACCAGTAAACCATTAAACCAGTAAACCATTAAACCAGTAAACCATTAAACCAGTAAACCAGGTAACTGGATCAGCTGACTGCTGCCATGTGATCCAGTTACTGATTGACCTATCTGAGGTTAACGAGCCCCAGACATTTGGATCAGTGCTGAGGTTTCCCTCCCCTCACGTTGCGGTCGGGTTCTGGTCCAGTTAGTCCGGTTCTGTTGGGTCGGCCGGATTCTGGTCGGGTCAGCCTGGTTCTGGTCGGGTCAGCTCGGTTCTGTCGGGTCAGCTCGGTTCTGTCGGGTCAGCCTGGTTCTGTCAGGTCAGCTCGGTTCTGTCGGGTCGGCCTGGTTCTGGTCGGGTCAGCCCGGTTCTGGTCGGGTCGACCCGGTTCTGATCCAGTCAGCTTGGTTCTGTCGGGTCAGCTGGGTTCTGGTCCAGTTAGCACGGTTCTGTCGGGTCGGCCTGGTTCTGGTCGGGTCGGCCCGGTTCTGTCGGGTCAGCCCGGTTCTGGTCCAGTCAGCTCGGTTCTGTCGGGTCATCCGGGTTCTGTTGGGTCAGCTGGGTTCTGGTCCAGTTAGCACGGTTCTGTCGGGTCAGCTGGGTTCTGGTCGGGTCATCCGGGTTCTGTCGGGTCAGCCCGGTTCTGGTCCAGTTAGCACGGTTCTGTCAGGTCAGCCCGGTTCTGGTCCAGTCAGCTCGGTTCTGTCGGGTCATCCGGGTTCTGTTGGGTCAGCTGGGTTCTGGTCCAGTTAGCACGGTTCTGTCGGGTCAGCTGGGTTCTGGTCGGGTCATCCGGGTTCTGTCGGGTCAGCCCGGTTCTGGTCCAGTTAGCACGGTTCTGTCAGGTCAGCCCGGTTCTGGTCTAGTCAGCTCGGTTTTGTCGGGTCAGCCCTGCATAGTGCCCTATATAGTGCCCTAATCACTACATAGTGCCCTATATAGTGCCCTAATCACTACATAGTGCCCTATATAGTGCCCTAATCACTACATAGTGCCCTATATAGTGCCCTAATCACTACATAGTGCCCTATATAGTGCCCTAATCACTACATAGTGCCCTATATAGTGTCTTCCGGTTCTGGTCGGGTCAGCTCATTTCTGTCGGGTCAGCCCGTTTCTGGTCCAGTCAGCTCGGTTTTGTCGGGTCAGCTTGGTTCTATTGGGTCAGCTCGGTTCTGTCGGGTCAGCCCAGTTCTGTCGGGTCAGCTCGGTTCTGTCGGGTCAGCTCGGTTCTGTCGGGTCAGCTCGGTTCTGTTGGGTCAGCCCGGTTCTGGTTCAGTTAGCACGGTTCTGTCGGGTCGGCGCGGTTCTGGTCCAGTCAGCTCGGTTCTGTCGGGTCAGCTGGTTTCTGGTTGGGTCATCCGGGTTGTGTTGGGTCAGCCCGGTTCTGGTCCAGTTAGCTCGGTTCTGTCGGGTCAGCTGGTTTCTGGTTGGGTCATCCGGGTTGTGTTGGGTCAGCCCGGTTCTGGTCCAGTTAGCACGGTTCTGTCGGGTCAGCTGGGTTCTGGTCGGGCCATCCGGGTTCTGTTGGGTCAGCCCGGTTCTGGTCCAGTCAGCTCGGTTCTGTCGGGTCAGCTAGGTTTAGGTCGGGCCATCCGGGTTGTGTCGGGTCAGCCCGGTTCTGGTCCAGTTAGCACGGTTCTATCGGGTTGTCTCGGTTTTGTCGGGTAAGCCGGGTTCTGTCGGGTCAGCCCGGTTCTATTGGGTTGGCTTGGTTCTGTCGGGTCAGCCGGATTCTGGTCGGGTCAGTCGAATTCTGGTCGGGTCAGCCCGGTTCTGTCGGGTCAGCCGGGTTCTGTCGGGTCAGCCCGGTTCTATTGGGTTGGCTTGGTTCTGTCAGGTCAGCCGATTCTGGTCGGGTCAGTCGGATTCTGGTCGGGTCAGCCCGGTCCTGGTCCAGTCAGCTCGGTTCTGTCAGGTCAGCTGAGTTCTGGTCGGGTCAGTCGGATTCTGGTCGGGTCAGCCCGGTTCTGGTCCAGTCAGCTCGGTTCTGTCAGGTCAGCCGAGTTTTGGTCGGGTCAGCCCGGTTCTATCGGGTCGTCTCGGTTTTGTCGGGTCAGCCGGATTCTGGTCGGGTCAGCCCGGTTCTGGTCCAGTCAGCTCGGTTCTGTCAGGTCAGCTGAGTTTTGGTCGGGTCAGCCCGGTTCTGGTCCAGTCAGCTCGGTTCTGTCGGGTCAGCCGGGTTCTGTCGGGTCAGCCCGGTTCTATTGGGTTGGCTTGGTTCTGTCGGGTCAGCCGGATTCTGGTCGGGTCAGCCCGGTCCTGGACGGGTCAGTCGGATTCTGGTCGGGTCAGCCCGGTCCGGGTCCAGTCAGCTCGGTTCTGTCAGGTCAGCCGAGTTCTGGTCGGGTCAGCCCGGTCCTGGTCGGGTCAGCCCGGTCCTGGTCAGGTCAGCCGGGTTCTGGTCGGGTCAGCCCGGTCCTGGTCGGGTCAGCCCGGTCCTGGTCGGGTCAGCCGGGTTCTGGTCGGGTCAGCCGGGTTCTGGTCGGGTCAACCCGGTCCTGGTTGGGTCAGCCGGGTTCTGGTCGGGTCAGCCCGGTCCTGGTCGGGTCAGCCCGGTCCTGGTCGGGTCAGCCGGGTTCTGGTCGGGTCAGCCGGGTTCTGGTCGGGTCAACCCGGTCCTGGACGGGTCAGCCGGGTTCTGGTCGGGTCAACCCGGTCCTGGTCGGGTCAACCCGGTCCTGGTTGGGTCAGCCGGGTTCTGGTCGGGTCAACCCGGTCCTGGTTGGGTCAGCCGGGTTCTGGTCGGGTCAGCCGGGTCCTGGTTGGGTCAACCCGGTCCTAGACGGGTCAGCCCGGTCCTGGTCGGGTCAGCCGGGTTCTGGTCGGGTCCGCCGGGTCCTGGTTGGGTCAGCCGGGTCCTGGTCGGGTCAGCCGGGTCCTGGTCGGGTCAACCCGGTCCTGGTCGGGTCAGCCGGGTTCTGGTCGGGTCAGCCCGGTCCTAGACGGGTCAGCCGGGTTCTGGTCGGGTCAGCCAGGTCCTGGTTGGGTCAGCCGGGTCCTGGTCGGGTCAGCCCGGTCCTGGTCGGGTCAGCCGGGTTCTGGTCGGGTCAGCCCGGTCCTAGACGGGTCAGCCGGGTTCTGGTCGGGTCAGCCCGGTCCTAGACGGGTCAGCCGGGTTCTGGTTGGGTGAGCCGGGTCCTGGTCGGGTCAGCCGGGTCCTGGTCGGGTCAACCCGGTCCTGGTCGGGTCAGCCGGGTTCTGGTCGGGTCAGCCCGGTCCTGGTCGGGTCAGCCGGGTTCTGGTCGGGTCAGCCGGGTCCTGGTCGGGTCAGCCGGGTCCTGGTCGGGTCAGCCGGGTTCTGGTCGGGTCAGCCCGGTCCTGGTCGGGTCAGCCGGGTCCTGGTCGGGTCAGCCGGGTCCTGGTCGGGTCAGCCGGGTCCTGGTCGGGTCAGCCGGGTTCTGGTCGGGTCAGCCCGGTCCTAGACGGGTCAGCCGGGTCCTGGTCGGGTCAGCCGGGTTCTGGTCGGGTCAGCCGGGTCCTGGTTGGGTCAGCCGGGTCCTGGTCGGGTCAGCCGGGTTCTGGTCGGGTCAGCCGGGTCCTGGTCGGGTCAGCCGGGTTCTGGTCGGGTCAGCCCGGTCCTGGTCGGGTCAGCCGGGTTCTGGTCGGGTCAGCCGGGTCCTGGTCGGGTCAGCCCGGTCCTGGTCGGGTCAGCCGGGTTCTGGTCGGGTCAGCCCGGTCCTAGACGGGTCAGCCGGGTTCTGGTCGGGTCAGCCCGGTCCTGGTCGGGTCAGCCGGGTTCTGGTCGGGTCAGCCCGGTCCTGGTCGGGTCAGCCGGGTTCTGGTCGGGTCAGCCCGGTCCTAGACGGGTCAGCCGGGTTCTGGTCGGGTCAGCCCGGTCCTGGTCCAGTCAGCTCGGTTCTGTCAGGTCAGCCGAGTTCTGGTCGGGTCAGCCGGGTTCTGGTCGGGTCAACCCGGTCCTGGTCGGGTCAACCCGGTCCTGGTCAGGTCAACCCGGTCCTGGACGGGTCAGCCGGGTTCTGGTCGGGTAAACCCGGTCCTGGTCGGGTCAGCCGGGTCCTGGTCGGGTCAGCCGGGTCCTGGTCGGGTCAGCCGGGTTCTGGTCGGGTCAGCCGGGTCCTGGTCGGGTCAGCCGGGTCCTGGTCGGGTCAGCCGGGTTCTGGTCGGGTCAGCCCGGTCCTGGTTGGGTCAGCCGGGTTCTGGTCGGGTCAACCCGGTCCTGGTCGGGTCAGCCGGGTCCTGGTCGGGTCAGCCGGGTTCTGGTCGGGTCAGCCGGGTTCTGGTCGGGTCAGCCCGGTCCTGGTCGGGTCAGCCGGGTTCTGGTCGGGTCAGCCCGGTCCTGGTCCAGTCAGCTCGGTTCTGTCAGGTCAGCCGAGTTCTGGTCGGGTCAGACGGCTCCTGGTCGGGTCAGCCCGGTTCTGGTCCAGTCAGATGGGTCCTGGTCGGGTCAGCCGGGTTCTGGTCGGGTCAGCCGGGTTCTGGTCGGGTCAGACGGGTTCTGGTCGGGTCAGCCGGGTTCTGGTCGGGTCAGCCGGGTTCTGGTCGGGTCAGCCGGGTTCTGTCAGGTCAGCCGAGTTCTGGTCGGGTCAGACGGCTCCTGGTCGGGTCAGCCCGGTTCTGGTCCAGTCAGACGGGTCCTGGTCGGGTCAGCCGGGTTCTGGTCGGGTCAGCCGGGTTCTGATCGGGTCAGCCGGGTTCTGGTCGGGTCAGACGGGTTCTGGTCGGGTCAGCCGGGTTCTGGTCGGGTCAGACGGGTTCTGTCGGGTCAGCCGGATTCTGGTCGGGTCAGCCGGGTTCTGGTCGGGTCAGACGGGTTCTGGTCGGGTCAGACGGGTTCTGGTCGGGTCAGACGGGTTCTGTCGGGTCAGCCGGATTCTGGTCGGGTCAGACGGGTTCTGGTCGGGTCAGACGGGTTCTGGTCGGGTCAGACGGGTTCTGTCGGGTCAGCCGGATTCTGGTCGGGTCAGCCGGGTTCTGGTCGGGTCAGACGGGTTCTGGTCGGGTCAGACGGGTTCTGGTCGGGTCAGCCGGATTCTGGTCGGGTCAGCCGGGTTCTGGTCGGGTCAGCCCGGTTCTATTGGGTTGGCTTGGTTCTGGTCGGGTCAGACGGGTTCTGGTCGGGTCAGCTGGGTCTCTGATGTCTCTCTCTCTCTCTCTCTCTCTCTCTCTCTCTCTCTCTCCATCAGGGTGATGTGAGCGATGCTCGCTCGGCCACCATGCCCGGGGTCACGCTGCGGTACTTCTGCTATGGCTGCCTCATCTCCTCGGCAACCTGGTCCGTCCTCCTCTACCTCTACTTCCTGCTGGGGGCGGAGCCTAGCAGGAGCCCCGTCCAGCACCGTCCAATCAGCAGGGCCGTCCCAGACAGGGGGGCGGAGCTTTCCTCAGAGATGGGTGAGTTTGGTGCCGTCTGGTAGTTCTGGTTCTGGTTCTGGCCGTTCTCAGCAGAACCAGAGGTTCTGTTCATGTCTGCAGGGATGATCTTCAACCAAGCGGACCAGGAGGTCCGGGACACGGGCTACCACCGCCACGCCTTCAACGTGCTCATCTCCAACAGACTGGGCCACCGCCGACCGCTGCCCGACACCAGAGACCCTCAGTGAGTACGGCGCCGCTCTGCCGGGGCCCAGCGGGGCCGCCTGATGGTTCTGACCCGAATGCCGCCATCTTTGTCAGGTGTCGGCAGAAGTCCTACCCCCCCGCTCTGCCCGCCGCCAGCGTGGTGATCTGCTTCTTCAACGAGGCGTTTTCCGCCCTGCTCAGAACCGTCCACAGCGTCCTGGACCGGACCCCCACCCACCTGCTGCACGAGATCATCCTGGTGGACGACCACAGCGAGCTAGGTAAGCCGGCGGGCCCCCGGCGGCCCCTGACGGGCCCCGAGTCCGGACACAACGTGCTAACTGGTGTTCTGCTGCAGAGGAGCTGCAGGCGGACCTGGACCAGTACATCAAAGACGAGCTGCAGGGGAAGGTGAAGCTGATCCGGAACCAGCGGAGGGAAGGCCTGATCAGAGGGCGGATGGTGGGAGCCTCCCACGCCACAGGTACCCGCCATCGCCCCTCCCACACAACTGGGCATGTAGACATGGACTCACCTGGTTCTGTGTCCAGGGGATGTCCTGGTCTTCCTGGACAGCCACTGCGAGGTGAATGAGGCGTGGCTGCAGCCGCTCCTGGCGCCCATCCAGAGAGACCGGCGGACCGTGGTCTGCCCCGTCATCGACATCATCTCCGCCGACACCCTGGCCTACTCGCCCTCCCCCATCGTCAGGGGCGGCTTCAACTGGGGGCTCCACTTCAAGTGGGACCCGGTGCCGCCGGCGGCACTGAGCGGCCCCGAGGGGCCCACTGCTCCCATCAGGTAAACCCCGGACAGGAGGCTCCAGAGCCTCCCGGCCTGACCCGGTCCATAAGGTTCTGGATGATGAAACTTTCCATTTCCTTTACAGTACGGATGCACAGCACTGATGGTACCGGCACTGAGCGGTACCGTGCACTGATGGTACCGGTACTGATGGTACCGGTACCATCAGTACCGGTACCGACCGATAGGGTGCCAGCATTAATCATATTTTATTAGAACAATCAGTGATTGCACTCAGAGAATCATCAGCAGTTGGATCAAAACCTCTGACCCGGTTCTGCCTGATCCGAGAGTTTTCCTATCAGCTTTGAAATATCACAGATTCTTGGTCCAGGAGTTCTGGAGGACTAACTCATTGGGCCCGGCTGCGTCCCTCTGTCCCCCCAGGTCCCCCACCATGGCGGGCGGCCTGTTCGCCATGGACAGGAGCTACTTTGAGGAGCTGGGCCGCTACGACGGAGGGATGGACATCTGGGGAGGAGAGAATCTGGAGATCTCCTTCAGGGTGAGCGCTCTGTTTTCCAGAGGGTAAGTGAAGGCAGTGTTCTGCCCAGCTCAGCTTCCTGTTTCCTCAGATCTGGATGTGTGGGGGCCAGCTGCTCATCGTCCCCTGCTCCAGAGTGGGACACATCTTCAGGAAGAGGAGGCCCTACGGCTCCCCAGGAGGACAGGACACCATGGCCCACAACTCGCTGAGGCTGGCCCACGTTTGGATGGACGACTACAAGGTTCAAACACCACCGCTGTCCATCTCTGACCTCACTTCCTGTCTGTGACCCCGCTTCCTGTCTCTGAACTCGCTTCCTGTCTGTGACCTCGCTTCCTGTCTCTGAACTTGCTTCCTCTCTCTGACCACGCTTCCTGTCTCTGAACTCGCTTCCTGTCTCTGAACTCGCTTCCTGTCTCTGACCCCGCTTCCTGTCTCTGACCTCGCTTCCTGTCTCTGACCCCGCTTCCTGTCTCTGACCTCGCTTCCTGTCTCTGACCCCGCTTCCTGTCTCTGACCATGCTTCCTGTCTCTGAACTCGCTTCCTGTCTGTGACCACGCTTCCTGTCTCTGAACTCGCTTCCTGTCTGTGACCACGCTTCCTGTCTGTGACCACGCTTCCTGTCTCTGACCCCGCTTCCTGTCTCTGACCCCGCTTCCTGTCTCTGACCACGCTTCCTGTCTCTGAACTCGCTTCCTGTCTGTGACCACGCTTCTTGTCTCTGACCACGCTTCCTGTCTCTGACCCTGCTTCCTGTCTCTGACCCTGCTTCCTGTCTCTGACCTTGCTTCCTGTCTCTGACCACGCTTCCTGTCTCTGACCCCGCTTCCTGTCTCTGACCCCGCTTCCTGTCTCTGACCACGCTTCCTGTCTCTGAACTCGCTTCCTGTCTGTGACCCCAGTTCCTGTCTCTGACCGCGCTTCCGGTCTCTGAACTCGCTTCCTGTTTCTGGCCCTGCTTCCTTTCTGTGACCGTGCTTCCTGTCTCTGACCGCGCTTCCTGTCTGTGACCTTGCTTCCTGTCTCTGAACTCGCTTCCTGTTTCTGGCCCTGCTTCCTTTCTGTGACCGCGCTTCCTGTCTCTGACCCCGCTTCCTGTCTGTGACCACGCTTCCTGTCTCTGACCTCGCTTCCTGTTTCTGGCCTCGCTTCCTTTCTGTGACCGCGCTTCCTTTCTGTGACCGCGCTTCCTGTCTGTGACCTTGCTTCCTGTCTCTGACCTCGCTTCCTGTCTCTGAACTCGCTTCCTGTTTCTGGCCTCGCTTCCTTTCTCTGACCCCGCTTCCTGTCTGTGACCTTGCTTACTGTCTCTGAACTCGCTTCCTGTTTCTGGCCTCGCTTCCTTTCTGTGACCGCGCTTCCTTTCTGTGACCGCGCTTCCTGTCTCTAGCCTCGCTTCCTTTCTGTGACCTTGCTTCCTGTCTCTGAACTCGCTTCCTGTTTCTGGCCTCGCTTCCTTTCTGTGACCGCGCTTCCTGTCTCTGAACTCGCTTCCTGTTTCTGGCCTCGCTTCCTTTCTGTGACCGCGCTTCCTTTCTGTGACCGCGCTTCCTTTCTGTGACCGCGCTTCCTGTCTCTGACCCCGCTTCCTGTCTGTGACCACGCTTCCTGTCTCTGACCTTGCTTCCTGTTTCTGGCCTCGCTTCCTTTCTGTGACCGCGCTTCCTTTCTGTGACCGCGCTTCCTGTCTGTGACCTCGCTTCCTGTCTGTGACCTCGCTTCCTGTCTCTGACCTCGCTTCCTGTCTCTGAACTCGCTTCCTGTTTCTGGCCTCGCTTCCTTTCTCTGACCCCGCTTCCTGTCTGTGACCTTGCTTCCTGTCTCTGAACTCGCTTCCTGTCTCTGGCCTCGCTTCCTTTCTGTGACCGCGCTTCCTTTCTGTGACCGCGCTTCCTGTCTCTGAACTCGCTTCCTGTTTCTGGCCTGGCTTCCTTTCTGTGACCGCGCTTCCTGTCTCTGGCCTCGCTTCTTTTCTGTGACCTTGCTTCCTGTCTCTGAACTCGCTTCCTGTTTCTGGCCTCGCTTCCTTTCTGTGACCGCGCTTCCTTTCTGTGACCGCGCTTCCTGTCTCTGAACTCGCTTCCTGTTTCTGGCCTCGCTTCCTTTCTGTGACCGCGCTTCCTTTCTGTGACCGCGCTTCCTTTCTGTGACCGCGCTTCCTGTCTCTGACCCCGCTTCCTGTCTGTGACCACGCTTCCTGTCTCTGACCTCGCTTCCTGTTTCTGGCCTCGCTTCCTTTCTGTGACCGCGCTTCCTTTCTGTGACCGCGCTTCCTGTCTGTGACCTCGCTTCCTGTCTGTGACCTCGCTTCCTGTCTCTGACCTCGCTTCCTGTCTCTGAACTCGCTTCCTGTTTCTGGCCTCGCTTCCTTTCTCTGACCCCGCTTCCTGTCTGTGACCTTGCTTCCTGTCTCTGAACTCGCTTCCTGTCTCTGGCCTCGCTTCCTTTCTGTGACCGCGCTTCCTTTCTGTGACCGCGCTTCCTGTCTCTGAACTCGCTTCCTGTTTCTGGCCTGGCTTCCTTTCTTTGACCGCGCTTCCTGTCTCTGGCCTCGCTTCCTTTCTGTGACCTTGCTTCCTGTCTCTGAACTCGCTTCCTGTTTCTGGCCTCGCTTCCTTTCTGTGACCGCGCTTCCTTTCTGTGACCGCGCTTCCTGTCTCTGAACTCGCTTCCTGTTTCTGGCCTCGCTTCCTTTCTGTGACCGCGCTTCCTTTCTGTGACCGGGCTTCCTTTCTGTGACCGCGCTTCCTGTGTGTGACCTTGCTTCCTGTCTCTGAACTCGCTTCCTGTCTCTGACCGCGCTTCCTCTCTGTGACCTTGCTTCCTGTCTCTGACCTCGCTTCCTGTCTGTGAACTCGCTTCCTGTCTGTGACCGCGCTTCCTTTCTGTGACCGCGCTTCCTGTCTGTGACCTTGCTTCCTCTCTCTGAACTCGCTTCCTGTCTCTGACCGCGCTTCCTCTCTGTGACCGCGCTTCCTGTCTCTGACCTCGCTTCCTCTCTGTGACCTCGCTTCCTGTCTGTGACCTTGCTTCCTGTCTCTGACCTCGCTTCCTGTCTGTGAACTCGCTTCCTGTCTCTGAACTCGCTTCCTTTCTGTGACCCCGCTTCCTGTCTCTGACCTCGCTTCCTGTCTCTGAACTAGCTTCCTTTCTGTGACCCCGCTTCCTGTCTCTGACCTCGCTTCCTGTCTCTGAACTCGCTTCCTGTCTGTGACCTTGCTTCCTGTCTGTGACCTCGCTTCCTGTCTCTGACCTCGCTTCCTCTCTGTGACCTCGCTTCCTGTCTGTGACCTTGCTTCCTGTCTCTGACCTCGCTTCCTGTCTGTGAACTCGCTTCCTGTCTCTGAACTCGCTTCCTTTCTGTGACCCCGCTTCCTGTCTCTGACCTCGCTTCCTGTCTCTGACCTCGCTTCCTGTCTCTGACCTCGCTTCCTCTCTGTGACCTCGCTTCCTGTCTGTGACCTTGCTTCCTGTCTCTGACCTCGCTTCCTGTCTGTGAACTCGCTTCCTGTCTCTGAACTCGCTTCCTTTCTGTGACCGCGCTTCCTGTCTCTGACCTCGCTTCCTGTCTCTGAACTCGCTTCCTGTCTCTGAACTCGCTTCCTGTCTCTGACCTTGCTTCCTGTCTGTGACCTTGCTTCCTGTCAGGAGCAGTACCTGGCCCTGCGTCCTGAGCTCCGTGACCGTGGTTACGGGGACATCAGCGAGCGCGTGGCGCTGAGGAAGCGGCTGCAGTGTCACTCGTTCCGCTGGTACCTGGACACAGTTTACCCAGAAATGCAGGCCGTCGCCGGGGGCAACAAGCAGCAGCCTGTCTTCAACAACAAGAGCCTGAGGCGGCCCAAAGTCCTGCAGCGAGGCCTGGTACCTGAACGCAGCACTTACAGCCACCTGCATGCCGACCCCTGACCTCTGACCTCTCTGTCCTCCACCTTCCAGCTGCGTAACCTAGTGACGGGCCGCTGTCTGGTGGCGCAGGGTCGAGTCAGCCAGAAGGGAGGGGCCGTGGTGGTGAGGCCGTGTGACCCCAGGGACCCGGAGCAGGTGAGGTCATCACTGGGGTCTTTGCTGATTGGACGGTTCAGTCTCTGTGAGTTGATCATGTGACCCGTTTCCAGAACTGGGCGTACGACGAGGACGGCCAGCTGGTTCTGGCGGGTCTGCTGTGTCTGGACGTGTCGGAGGTCAGAACGTCAGAACGACCCAGACTGATGAAGTGTCACGGCTCGGGGGGGTCGCAGCAGTGGGGCCTGGGGGTGAGACCACGATGATGATGATGATGAAGAGCGTGGCCTGGTTCTGATCCGATTCTCTTCCCAGCAGAAGTCCAACCGGCTCTACCAGGTCTCTGTGGGTCAGTGTCTCGCCGCCTCCCATTCATCTGGACCCAAAGGCTACGTTACCATGGCGATCTGTGACGGCTCCCAGGACCAGCAGTGGCTGCTGGAGAGTTAGCGGGTTCTGGAGGGTCCGCTGGTTCTGGTTCCGGAAGAACCGGGCCTGCAGCAGCAGTTCTTGTTTTTATCTCTGGTTTTTAATGCAGAAGTAGCTTCATGATGTTCTGCTGAGTTCAATAAAGTTCTTCAGAACCAC